GAGGTGGCTGACGGCCAATTTTCTCCTTTTTAAGATCTTTTTAGATCTTTTGAGCCAGCTGCTGAGCACTGAGGCTCATCTCCATACACGTGTATGGAGGGATTGAAGCCAAGCATTTGGTTTGCCCCTCTATATAAGGGGAGGTTCCTCCTCCTTTTTGAGGGTTCTAAAATTTTAGAAGCAAAATTTTACTCTATCTCTCTAGAATTCTCTATCTCTCTCTCTCTCTATATTGTGCTTGAAAGTGAGTTTTCTTCACATTTTTGCACTAAGACCCTTAACCAAACACCACCACCTTGGAGCTGAGGTTCTTGAAGGTTTTGTTTAGGCTCTAAAGTTGGTTTTAGCTCAGAGTTTTAGCCGTTTGTTGTGGTTCTTAAAGGGTAAGGCCTTATCCCCCTTTAAAGCTTTATTTATTTGCTAGTTTAGGCCACCTTTGCATGCTGTTTTGGCCTAGTTGTCAACTGCAAAAACCTCTATTTTTAAGTGTTAAAAATAGTAGTTTGAGGCCTCTTTGGAGCTAGGGGTGGTCTACCCTCTTTTGTAGCTTGTTTGCTAAGCTTTGTGCCATCTTTTAAAGCCTTTAAAATAATATTTTTTTGGCCTTTTAACCACTGAATTCCAGGGAAATTTCAGTGGTAGAAAGTTAGTTTTGAGGTCCCAAATAGGAGGGGGTGGCCTCCCCTCCTTGTGTTTTGTTTGCATGTGTTGATGGCCTAATAAGTGAGCTTCTATTTCTACTTTTTTTGAAACTTAGTTCAAACATGTTTTAGGCTTTATTTTGACCTGGTTTAACTCTGTTTTTGGTTGGTTGGGTCAATTCTTGCTTGCTTTTTATACTTGTAGTGCAATCTTGCTCACTAGCCTTGCATGCCTAATGAGTTAGTTTATCATTCTAGCTTGTGTTAGCTTAATTCCAGCACATTTTTGCTACTGATTTAGCATGCTTTAGCTCTGCTTTGGGTGGTCTTGGTCATATATGCTTTGCTTTGTATAGCAATAGTGTAGTTGGCCTTTACTAGCTTTGTGTCTGAGGCCCTCTAGCATGCCTTATTTGTGATGTTTGCATGGTATAACATCATTTGTGTAACGCCCTCAAAATAGTAACATCAAACCCATCAGATAAGACATGCATTTACATATAAACCAACCATATTCCTTTATTTCATTGAGTTTCATTACATAAGTATTACATGTTAACATCAAAACAAAATGCCCTACGGGCTTACAGCTTTCCAAGTTAACACTTGGTTTCAACAAAAGAGTACTAACTCGTTTACACATTAAGCCCTTGGCTTGAAGTTACATGTAATACATCAAAAGTAAAGCGACAAAAGTATGTCCGCCTCTAGCCTCCCAGCTATGTCCTTGGAGGTGGCATGCTACCAGTACCTGAAAATGATATTCCCATATAGGGTGAGCCACAGCCCAGTAGAAATATTCAATGCTTTTAATGTGGGACGTGTGCCCGACGCTTATACCACCTCTCTAGTTAGAAGCGTTTGGACTGTGTGCCCGACGCTTATACTTCCCTTCTAGTTAGAAGCATTTGGGACGTGTCCAACGCTTACACCATTTTGTTCTTGGTTAAAAACACTTGGGTCGTGTGCCCGATGTTTATTCCCCCCCGGTTAGAAGCGTTTAGAACGTGGTTCGACGCTTATACCTATCTGTTTTGGTTAGAAACGTTAGAACGTGTTCTGATGTTTATACCACCCTCCGATGTTTATACCACCCTCCGATGTTTACACCGCTCCCTTTTTCCTATCGCGTGTGGCGCGTTAGGATGCTTTGGTTAAATGCATTCGGATGAACTTCAATGTTTATACCGTTCTTCGTTTTGGTTACATAATAGTTGGATGTGTTTCAATTATTATTATGTGCTTTTGTTAATTTGGAACCTAGGGTGTGTCCTTAGGTTCACACCACTTCTTTCCTCGCGTGTGCCATACATTGGGATCTTGTTTGCCGCCCCAGGTGCGCCCGATGGTTGTTGTTCTTTGTCTTTTCTACGTAAGGTGCGGTTAAGATTGTATAATTTTTTTACATTCCTTTCTGCATGAAATGTAGTTTGGTTCGTGTTAACTTGCTTATGTACGAGTTTATTGTAGCATTTCTTTGTAACATTTGCATTTAGATGTTTCATTACAGCCCCCATTGCATGATCATAAGTTTATGTTCAGCATCGTGCATGTCGCTTGCATTTTGCCACAGCCTGCGAGCGCATCTATATTGTTATCTTGTTTGTCTAAGTCTTCAACGTTGTCAACAATGGGTCGTCTCTGGGCTTTGACATTCACTCCCGTCATTTCATGGCTTTCGAGTTCTGTCAAAGAGGGGCAATTGTAGACACCCCATTTTTGACCGACCTCAAGACTTTGACATCATTGTTTCTGCACTCGATGATTGCTCATGTCTGTGCTTGTTTTGAGCGCCCGAGTCCTCGGTTGAGCACCTTGTCTTTGGGCCTCTAAACCCTCTTTGTTTTGGCCTTGTTTTTGGGCCAAACCTTGGTGCCTCTTGCCTAGAGGGGAGAAGGGCCTTGCCGGCCACTTTTCCTTCTTGCCGACCACTTGAAGTGGTCGGTCGGCTAGGGAAGGTGTCCGACCGTACACCTGAAGTGGCCGACGGCCAATTTTCTCCTTTTTAAGATCTTTTGAGCCAGCTGCTGAGCACTGAGGCTCATCTCCATACACGTGTATGGAGGGATTGAAGCCAAGCATTTGGTTTAGCCCTCTATATAAGGGGTGGTTCCTCCTCCTTTTTGAGGGTTCTAAAATTTTAGAAGCAAAATTTTACTCTCTTTCTAGAATTCTCTATCCCTCTCTCTATATTGTGCTTGAAAGTAAGTTTTCTTCACATTTTTGCACTAAGACCCTTAGCCAAACACCACCACCTTGGAGCTGAGGTTCTTGAAGGTTTTGTTTGGGCTCTAAAAGTTGGTTTTAGCTCAGAGTTTTAGCTGTTTGTTGTGGTTCTTCAAGGGTAAGGCCTTACCCCCCTTTAAAGCTTTATTTATTTGCTAGTTTAGGCCACCTTTGCATGCTGTTTTGGCCTAGTTGTCAACTGCAAAAACCTTTATTTTTAAGTGTTAAAAATAGTAGTTTGAGGCCTCTTTGGAGTTAGGGGTGGTCCACCCTCTTTTGTAGCTTGTTTGCTAAGCTTTGTGCCATCTTTTAAAGCCTTTAAAACAATATTTTTTTGGCCTTTTAACCATTGAATTCCAAGGAAATTTTAGTGGTAGAAAGTTAGTTTTGAGGTCCCAAATAGGAGGGGGTGGCCTCCCCTCCTTGTGTTTTGTTTGCATGTATTGATGGCCTAATAAGAAAGCTTCTATTTCTACCATATCATGGCTTGATCTCAGCATGTTTTTGTGACTTTTTTGACCTACTTTAACTATGTTTTTGGTTGGTTAAGTCACTTGTTGCTTGCTTCTTAGACTTGTAATGCAATCATGCTTACTAGCCTTGAATGCCTAATGAGTTAGCCTATCATTTTAGCTTGTATTAGCTCCATCTCAGCATGCTTTTACTCATGTTTTGCTATGCTTTAGCTCTGTTTTGGGTGGTCTTGGTCATATATGCTTTGCTTTGTATAGCTATAGTGTAAACGGCTTCACTAGCTTTGTGAGTTAAGGCCCCTAACATGCTTTGCTTGAGTTGTTTGCATGTCATAGCATTATTTCACACATGATTTCAAAGCATATACCTCTATCACACTCTCACATATATCGCTCTTTAATTGCTTTTGAGAGTTGTGCCTTATGCTTTACTTGCGAGCCAACATGTGCGCATGATCTTCTACTCTTTTGTGCCTTAATTCCAACATGTTTAGGCCACTGTTTTGGCATGTTTTAGGTCTGTCCATAGCTAGTTTGGTTGTTTGAGCTTGATAATGCATGCTTCTCGTGTAATACACTTCACTAGCGTTGATGCTCTTGGCCCTTAACATGTTGCGCATATGTTGATTGCATGTTTTAGCATTACTTGTCATGCCATTTCAGCACTGAATATCTGCCACCTCCCTCATTTCTTCATTTTTCTTTTTGCTTTGAGAGCTTGTTGGCCTTAAGGTTGTGTTTAAGCATAAGTTAGAGTTTGTGCTTAAATGGCTTTAACCCTTTTATGAGGATTCCTCCTAGCCAAAGGCATGATCTCTTTCATGCCTTAAACCATTCTTTTAGTTAACCCCTCTCTCATTAGAGGATTTTCACATTGGACAAATCAAGTACAGAATGGTTTGGTAATGTAAAATGAGTAAACAAGAAATGGACCAAGTAAAACATAAATAAGATAAGCATTTGTGTTACATTGCATGTGTTTAGATCGAACGTTAGTCCAAACACAAGAAATATGGGACGTTTCACTACAACAAAATTGAATTTTTATGGCTTGAAATGCATGCCATAAAAACTCTTTCACGGCATGCACACAAATGCCGTTATATGACATGCCATGAAAAGTTGAGTATCATTTACGGCATACAGATAAAGTTGTAAAAAGTAATAAATTAAGCATTAATGACATACTTTGTATGTCGTATATAATTTTTTACGACATTTTTGTCATGCCATAAATTATCATGCTTTCCATGACATAATTTTGCATGCCATAGAATGTTATTTTTAATATATTTATGACATATTTTGTATGCCGTATATGATATTTTACGACATTTTTTTACATGTCATAAATCATCACTTTTCACGACATAATGTTGTATGCCGTAAAATGTCATTTTAATATATTTATGACATATTTCGTATGCCGTATATAATCTTTTACGGTATTTTCTTGCATATCATAAATCATTACACTTTTCATGACATAATTTTATATGCCATAGAAGGTTATTTTTAATACATAATATATATACAGGAATATAACCTTGCCTAATAGTATGTAGACAGTAGCTTATAAAATGCAACATGTTAACAAACCAGGCAGAAACTGCAACTATGAAGTAAGCAAAAAATTCTAATATCCATACACCAAACAACCTGCATACTAATTTTCATCCTTAACTTCTATCATATCAAGCTGATAACAATTTCAAACATACAAATCAAAAAAAGTATCCAAATCATAGGATTCATTTATCAACATGATGTACACTATGAAAGATGGCAAATTTTTGCCATCTGATTATGCATCTATCCAGAGTTTTAAATCACATGATCTACACTATGAAAGAACTGTCCAAGTTTTGGGATCCAATAGTGCCCAGAGATGATTATGATCACCATCCTTCACAGTTGTTGGCAATGCAACACTCATCACTTAGCTGTAACAATTAGCTTTCTTGTTTATCAGACACCATGGTGTCAACATCTCAAGTCTCAGTCACTGAATTATCATCATCATCACCATCTTCACTTGCTGCAAATAACAAAACAAGAAGTCATTTTGAGACCACCATATCCTCCATTAGTTGGAACTTGGATGGTTGGTTAGACCCAATTTTAGGTAGCCAAAATTTAGAATATGATATTACAGCTATTTGGATAAGTCATAATTGAAACAACTCAACTGTTAATTTAGTTGTGAAAAAACCTGAAAATAATGAAAATAATGCATGAACATTAAGTCATGACAGCAACTGTAACCAGCAAAACCTCTGTCCTGATTCAAAGTGAAAGCAAATCCTATGACTAGTTAAACTAGCATATGCCATATTTTGGTGATGAAATGTTAAACTAGCATATGCCATGTTTTTGGGAAAAGGCAGAGCAAGCACAAGCCCCAAAAACCATAACTTTGATTCATAACAACAACATGCAGCATCAAGTAGTAATAGCAGCCAGCCCCTACAGAAAGGAATGAATGTAGTTTTACTTTACCAGTTGAAAGAAATAAATGATAGTGTCGAAAATACCTTTATCTCAGATATCATCCCATCAAAATCCAAACCAACTGTTTTTGGATCATAGTAGCTGTATTCAGACCAAGGAACTCTAGCATCATTGAAATTATTCTTGTGGTTACCTGGAAAATTGATCTTTATTTTAAATTATCAGACCTTTGGACAAATTTTACCAATTAGACTGACAATACTCACCCCAAGTTGGGGATGATATTACAACTTTGCCCTAGGGAGATATCTTCAATGAGTGCAACAGCGAGTCAAAGAGAACCAGTTCCTGAAAGACCTTGAACAGTAGCAACCTGCAGAATTTTTTTGTTTAAGAAAATGATTAGTTAAAAAGGCCCCTTGACTGCGTCAGAGAAATTTTAAAATCATGCATACCCTTTTGCTGTTCACCTACTGGGTTATCTGGGTCATAGGCACTATGGATCATACTAATGCTAATGTCCAGCAAAACACCAATGTCAAGCTACATAGAATAAATTGAATTCCTTTTTTGTTGTCTTGCATTTCTTCTTCTACATGAAGACTGTTGTTTTTTTCCATATAGATATCCATAAAACAATGAAGTAATAGAGTCTGATATGATCCAATCAATACTCTAAAATATAACCAAGCATTCCCTATAATTACCATTTTTTATCCCCCGTTTATTTTATTTTTTTTCCTTCTATCTCACTTTCAAAAAAAAAAAAAAAAAAGTGTTCAGGTATCCATAAATTTTGACCTATAAACTAAACATTTAATTTTATTAGTTTCAACCTATTTACTTTGTTTGAACAATCCACATTATAATATATAAAAGACTATAACACACAATTACTTCTCTAGAACTTGTTAATCCCATGAATCGCTTATGTCTAACAATTTTAGAGTAGAAGGGATGATATATGTAAATGGCATGGAGTACCTGATACAGCAACATTCTCTTGAGTGCTAGAGGAAAGTTCTCCATCAATTTCTGCTTTCATGGCTTTTGCATCATCAAGCATTGATTTGTATTTTTCCCACTGTCTTTTTGCCCTCTATGTAACTAGCCACTGTTTCCAAACGATGCACAACAAGTATGATAACTAATTCCAGAAAAAAGAATAGATTACTAGAGAAATTTAAAACCAACATATTCAAGAAAAAATATTGATATATAGGGAAATGGAAATTTAGACAGATACGACAAAAAACTAGGAGAGTTTACCTCATCA